ATTAATGAGGTATGTATGTGTTACTTAGGAGCGTTAAACATTTGAGATCCAAAGGGCAGCATTTGTCCAAGGAGAAATGGAAACAGTAAACACAGGGGAGAAGTAGGATAAGAGATGCTGTGTGTGTTATCTTTTTGCTTGATGTTTATTTACTTAAGACATACAGGATAGACAAGCCTATGGAGACAGCGACTGCACCAATCTTTACAGGGGCTCCTGGAAGAGGAGAAAGGGAAGGGGAGGTGATGGGGGAGCCAACAGTGATGGGTGCAGGGCAATAGTAAGTGTTTTAATATTGACAGTGAGGAGGGTACAGCTTTTCTGATCGTGTTTGTTCAATCGATTTGTATATGGGAGGAATTACTGAGAGTTGAACGATGGGAAACATAACACTGGGGTAGGAGGAAAAAATTATATATGTATATGAGGGGTACCCCCACAAAACCGGAATTGCACTAGGTGGGGCTTTCATAGTTCAGATTTATCTGTAGGCAAGCACCGAGCAACTTGCTCTGAGTTAGTGCACCTGGCAAGGTTCTCTGGTCACAGTGAATATTTTTGTAAAAGTAATTTTGCTTGAACCTCGTTTTTTGTGATGACTGATTTAAGAGAACAGTGGGTGGCTGTGAAGTTTTGCTTCCTGCTTCAGAAAAATGCCGCAGAAACTGCTATGATGTTGAACACAGCCTGCAAGGGTATGGGAAAAACTCACGTGTATGAGTGGTTTTCTCATTTCCAAAAAAGGTGAAATGTTGATTGATGACAAACCTCATTCTGGACATCTATCAACTTCCTGAACAGACAAAAATGTCGACTTGGACTTCATTTGGAGTTGGTCTCACCAGGTCGGACTATTAAGCCAGTTTTCTATTTAGAGGTTCTGAAAAGATTGTGTAACAGTGAGTGACAAAAAAGGCCTGATTTGTGGCAGGTGGGGGACTGGTTTTGCCACCATGACAAAGCACCTGCTTTGGCAAAAAAAAACAGCATGCCTTTCTTGCCCCATGCACCTTACTTACCTGCTCTGTGCAACTTCTTTTATTTCCATGAATGAAGAGGGATATGAAAGGACAGTGATTTGAAGACATAGAAGAGGCTGAAGAAAAAAATGAGGGAGGTGCTGTCAGCCATCCAAACAGGATGAGTTTGAAAAATGTTTCCAAAAAATGGAATCACAGATTTGACAAATGTATTAAGTGTAATAGAGAGTACTTTGGGGGTGATAAGCTTGTTTTGTAACACAATTTAAATACGTAGCGTTGAAAAACGTTCAGTTTTTGTGGGGGGTACCCCCTCGTGTGTGTGTGTGTGTGTGTGTGTGTGTGTGTGTGTGTGTATGTATATATATAGTGAATTTATTGTATGTGTACACAAAAACATTTGTAATAAGGATGTAGGTGGACTTTGGGCCTCAACTTAAATCTTGCCTCAGTACAAGAACAGTTTGTTTTAGCAATGTGGAATTACATAATATTCACCTTTCTGATACGATCTCTGAAGACAAAATGGGTGCATAAGTAAATATGGTGAAGACTTATAGTGCCTGGCTATCAAAAGATATAGTGTCTGGGGCCATAAAGGGTTGTAGTTAAGCAAGCAGCCATCTAGCAGGGAAGCAATGAAACCCACATGGAAGAAGCACACCAGCCTGTGTGATCATGAGGTGTCCAAGGGAAGAGGTATCAGAAATCAAAAGAAAAATACACAACCAAATCCATGTGAAGGGGGATGGATGTAGTGGAGACTCAAAACCCACCTGTAAGATAATTGGGTAGTCCCTCTCAGAATGGCCACATGAAATGGATGATAAATTCAGGGTGCAGTATGCTACTTATGAATCACACAACTATCCTCTAGCTCATAAATATTTTCTCCTCTTGCCATTATTGTTTTCATTTGTTTTACCTCATTAATCAAGTTAGAGTTGCATATCTTCATTTGTATATTTAAGATTATGCAGTACATGAAAGTCAAGATAGATAACCCTTCAGAAATAGTTACAGGAGTAATGGTTCCCTGGAGGTACATGAAGGGTTGGGGGAAAGGGGCAGAATGGGGAGCTGGTAGCAATGATGACTGTATAACAACAGAATTGAATGTGAATGGATATATTGGATAGTTAAATAAACTATTAAACTGTTATATATATAAAGAAATGCTACATTGTGAGGATTGCAATCAGTGACACAAACCAAAAGGTGTGTGAATTTTTCCATGGAAGCCTGATTTGCTCCATAAATCTTCACCCAGTTCTCACACGCACACACACACACACACACACACACACACACACACAACTGTGGGCAAGAAGGGAAGGCATTTTCCCCTATTGCTTCAACAATTTATTTTCATGTGATATGTTGAACATTAAGAAAATTCAAGATTATGCTGAATTAATTTCTGTAGTGGGCAGTGTTTTAGTGAGTTTCTGTTATCTGACTATTCAAAACCAAACAAATTATTAGGATGACCATTAGCTCAAAGAAAGTCCCTCTGCTGAAGTTAGTGTAATTAGTAACTAATATTTGAGAGCGCTATAATTAGTATTAAAGGGAGGCAGATTAATGGTTCTCCAAATATGCCCACATCCTCATCCCTGATGCTTGACCCAGTGGATGCTACTGTACACAAGAGAAAGCATTTTGAAGATGGGGTTAAGGTTAGTTTTCGTTATCAAGTGCTGCTACAACAAAAACACCACGAGTGGGTGGTTTTAACAGACACATTTGTTTTCCCATAGCCCAGGAGGCTACGTAATGGAATCCAGAGTATCAGCTCTAGGGTAAAGCTTTCTTTCTCTGTAAACTCCAAGGAAGCCCTTGTCTTCTCTCATGATTTGTAGGCCCAGCACTCCTTGGAAACCTCTATGTGTCTTGGCATCTTCCCTGGTTTTTCTCAGGGAGGTACTTCTGTCCTAAAGGACCCGCTCTACCCCCAGATCTTCTTTCTTGGTGGTAGTAGGTCCCCCGCCTCTGCTCACGTCTCTCTGCTTTTGGTTCCTAAGATAAAAGATGTTACAGGCCACACCCCAGGGAAAGTCCCCTTATACTGGATGGGTTTAAGAAGGTTGGGTTGGGGCTATGGTGGGTTGAAGAATGTTGCAGCTTACCTTTAATCCTTTTATTGGTTTATCACTAGCAGATTCCATTAGGAGGGATCATCAATAACTGTCATATCTTTACATGCCTGCCAAACTACTGAGAATCATGGCTTAGCCAAGTTGACATGTGCTTTCTTGGGGACACCATTCATTACAGTTAAAAAAAACCTCATTGCCATCCAGTCAATTCTGACTCACAGTGACCCTGTAGGTCAGAGTTGTGCTGTCTCTGAGTTTCCAAGGCTAACCTTGACAGGTGTAGAATGACTTATTTTTCTCCTAGAGAATCCCTAGTGGTTTCTAACTCCTGACAGCCCAGTAAAACCACTATGTCACCAGGGATTAATATAAGGGAAATTATCCTGGTGGGCTCATAATCAAATGGACCTTTGTAAGATGAAGCGGAAGACAGGACCACCAGTCAGAGATGTGGCAAAGATGATATTGCAGGAACAATCTGAGATGTGAGGAGGAGTCAACATGCCACTGCTGACTTGGAAGATGGAGAAGGACCACAGCAAACGGCTTCTCAAAGCCGGGAGCAGCTCTTCGCTGACAAACTGTAAGGCATCAGGGTCCTTTGCTCTGTAACTGCAAATAACTGAATTCTGTCAACAACCCTGTCATGGATCAAATGGAATCCCTCTACGCAGGCATAAGTCAACTTAGCTGAGCCATGATTCTTCATAGTGTGGCAGTTAGGAAATAATCTGATCATCTCCTATGAGATGATCCCTCACTCACTTGTAAGGGGATTGGGGTGAGATGTTACACCTTCACTCAGATCACAGCCCAGGTGTAATGTAAGGGGATTTCCCCTGCTTTGTGGCTTGCAACATCTTTTATCATTCAAGAGATGCCAAGGGAGAGGATAGGAGCAGAAAGAAAGGGTAGGGGGACCTCTGTATCACCAAGAAAACAGAGTGAGGAGCAAAGCCCACCCTCTGGGTCAGGGCCTCTATGGTGAGAACCAACTAGAACTAAGAGAAGGTGGATGCCAATACCGCCCAGGATTCCAGGCCTACGGATGCTGACAGGGGGCAGGGACCTACCCTCAGAGCCAACAGAGAGCTGGTGGCCCGAATCAGGACTTTTATCCTCCTAAACAGTGAGGGACTAAGTTCCTGTTCATTATCTGCTTGATAACTAAGACAAACCCACTGAACAGAGAAAGAGACTGATTCATAAGTAATACAAAGAGACTTCAAAAAATTCATGGACAAGCAGAATTAAAAGATAATGAGATTTTTCTGTGAAATTTTTGTGGTCCCCTAGTATGTATGTAAGGAGCCCTAGTGGAATAATGGTTACGTATTAGACTGTTACCTCCAAGGTCAGCAGTTGGAAACTAGCTGCTGTGTGGGAAGAAGGCAGGGCTTTCTACTCCTGTAAAGAGCTACAGTCTCAGAACCCACAGCGGCAGTTCTTCCCTGTCATGAAGGGTTGCTTTGAGTCCGACTGAATGACAATGGGTTTGGTGCTTGTAGAAGTGGAATTGTTGAAATCTTTTTTTTTAATCAATTAAATCATTTTATTGGGGGCTTGTACAACTCTTATCACAATCCATACATACATCCACTGTGTCAAGCACATCTGTACATTTGTTGCCATCATCATTCTCAAAACACTTGCTTTCTGCTTGAGCCCTTGGTATCAGCTCCTCATTTTTTTTGAAATCTATTAATTTGTGGAAATCAAATGTTTTGATGGTGCTGGTAAGTCTTGGGACATTTGCATCATATCTACCCCATTTTAGTTTCCCAAACCACTCATTTGTTTTATGTTTTTATCACTGGCAGAGATTTGAAATTTTGTATATTTGAATGCACTTATTTTCTGGGTTTGACTAAATTTTGTTGATTGGTTTGTTTTTTTAACTTCTATCTTCTTTATCAGAGGGCAGTTGTTTCCCTGAGTGGGACGGGCTTGTCTGTTGGCCCAGAGGGACAGTGGGGAAGATATCAGCTGTCCCGTGCCCTCCTTACATTCACGACTTTAATCATAAAGGTATGCCCTTTTCTGAAATTATTAACTTGAAATAAAATTTAACATGCCTCTTTTTAGGAAGACTCTTGGGGAACTGAGCAATTCAAAGTCTCTCTTTCTATCGTTATAGGGGTTGCTTTCCGACACTGTAACCCCAATGGAACATGGGATTTTATGCACAGCTTAAACACAAGCCGGTCCAATTACTCAGACTGCCTTCGCATTCTGCAGTCAGATATCAGCATAGGAAAGGTAATTTTTGTATTTGCATTTTTGTATTTGTGAACTTCCAAAAGGAAACGGAATATGCAATGCTTATTTATTACCCATTCATATGTAAACCCCTTTGATTCTGTAACACAATGAATACAGAAGACAAAAGAAATTCAGAATCTGGTATCTTCCCCTAAAAAGGTATCTGAAAATTCAGTTATTTTCTTTCGGTTAGTGATATCTGGTTGAGATACACATGTATGTACTTATACAGGTATGTATGTGTATAGATAGAGACTGCATTCACATTATATGATGCATACAATAGGTAGTCAGTCACATGTTTCATGATTTCTTTTTGTGTGCCTATGAATGGCATCTTATCTCACTGTGCTTCTAGAGGACTTGGTACAAGTATTTTGGAGGTGTCTTTCCCATATCATAATGAATTGTCAGAATTAGAGAATTAGATGAATAAAGGTGTCAGATGAGCCTTGGTACACATGGGTAAGTGTTTGGCTGCCAACCCAGAGGTCATTAGTTCAAAGCCACAAGCAGCTCTGTGGATGAAAGATGTAGAAGTCTGCTTACATGCCCCTGGGAAACCCCATGGGGGCCGGTCTGCTCTGTCCTAGAGGGTCACCATGAGTTGTCATTGACGTGACAGCACTGGGTTTGCCTTTTCTCTTGGGGTTCTTAAGGGGAATTATAAAGGTCCTCTAGCATAACCTCTTAATTTCACAGATGTGAGTCACCTCAAAGGTTAAGTAATGCTCATAGTGAAATAGCAGAGTCCTAATGCCTTAATTTTACACCAGTGCTATTTCCAGTAGAACAATCATATGTAAACTTAAAAACTATCCAGGTAGTTCCTTGAAAATCAGAGCTGGTGGACTGAAGGTCATGCTTTAGTCCCCAGCACTTAGGTGCCTTCAATAAGTGTCTGCACTGATGTTGGAAGTCAATCAGCGTCATTCCTTTTCCATCTTTCTTCTTTTCTAATATAATGCAACACCGCCTACTAGATTGTTGAATGAGCTTCAGATTTGTGTTTTATCGCTGACAAGCATCTTAGACAAAATTAGTCAGAGGTAAGAAATTCTCTTAGATAAACTTTGGTAAATGAAAGGAGTGTTATTAGTCTACAATAGAACTAAAATTGATAGTGAGTTGGTATAAAATGATTCTAAGTGATTTCAGTTCCACTGAAAGAAACATGTGCCAATATTGACTATACTTGGTTAAAAACATGGTGAAAAATAGAGATCGTTCAAAACTTTTCAATGACCATTTAAATGAAATCATGGTTTTATTTATACACATTCCAAACTTCTAACCATTTTTTTGGTGATTACTATGTATCACAGAAAACAAAAGCAATTAAATATGGTTAGTACACCCAAGATAATACTATTTCATGTGAAGCAGGTTTAAAAGTTAATTGAAAGTTTGGAACAAAATCTCATAAATAATTTAATTTTATCCGATTAATTAAGAAGTACTTTCTAATTCTATGATGCTCACCTTCCCGACACAACCGCTGAAGACAAAGCGGGTGAACAAGCAAATGTGGAGAAGAAAGCTGATGGTGCCCGGCTATCAAAAGATATAGCGTCTGGGGTCTTAAAAGCTTGAAGGTAAACAAGCGGCCATCTAGCTCAGAAGCAAAAAAGCCCACATGGAACAACATATCAACCTGTGTGATCACGGGGTGTCGAACGGATCACTGAAGACAAATGGGTGCATAAGCAAATGTGGTGAAGAAAGCTGATGGTGCCCGGCTATCAAAAAGTATAGCGTCTGGGGTCTTAAAGGCTTGAAGGTAATCAAGCGGCCATCAAGCTCAGAAGCAGCAAAGCCCACATGGAAGAAGCACACCAGCCTATGCAACCACGAGGTGTCGAAGGGATCAGGTGTAAGGCATCATCAGAACAAAAAATCTCACCATAGTGAATGATGGGGGCAGTGCGGAGTGGAGATCCAAAGCCCATTAGTAGGCCACTGGAGAACCCCTTGCAGAGGGGTCTCGGGGAGGAGATGAGCCAGTCAGGGTGCGATGTAACAATGATGAGAAATACAACCTTCCTCTAGTTCCTAAAGGTTTCCTCCCCGCTCCCACTACCATGACTCGAATTCTATCTTGCAAGACTGGCTAGACCGGAGGAGGTACACTGGTACAGATAGGAGCTGAGAATACAGGGAATCCAGGATGGATGAGTCCTATAGGACCAGTGGTGTGAGTGGCAAAACAGGGAGGGTAAAGGGAGAATGGGTAGGAAAGAGGGAACCGATTGCATGGAACTGTGTGTGACCTCCTCCCTGGGGGACGGACAACCGAGGAGTGGGTGAGGGGAGAGGTCGGACAGGGCAAGATATGACAAAATACCCATTTATAAACTATCAAGGGCTCATGTGGGAGAGGGGAGCGGGGAGGGAGGGGAAAAAATGAGGACCTAATGTCGGGGGTTTGGATGGAGAGAAAATGTTTTGAGAAATGATGTACAAATACGCTTTACACAATTGATGTGTGTATGGATTGGGATAACAGTTGTATGAGCCCCTAATAAAATGTTTAAAAAAAAAAAAAAAAAAGAAGTACTTTCTAATAATGAACATACTTAATACTTGATAATTTCAGCAAATGTGAGAAAAATAAATGAGAATACTATGGTCTAAATTTTTCATCTACTGTAGTATAAATTATATTTTTTATGAGATATGCTACTCATTATTATAATGAAAATATTTATCGGAGTATAAGGAATAAAAAGGAATATATATTCATTTACTTAGGACAACAGCACATCTTTATTGGGAAAAGCAGCCTGTGGTTGTTGTTAGGTGCCATCAAGTTGGCTCTGGCTCACAGCAACCCCGTGCACATCAGAAGGAAACCCGCCTGGTCCTGGGCCCTCCTCGCACCTGTTCCTATGCCTGCGCCCACTGATGCAGCCACATGTCAACCCATCTTGTCAAGGGCCTTCCTTTCTTCTTGGCCATCCCTCATTTGGTCAAATATCATGTCCTTCTCCAGAGACTGGTCTCTCCTGACAGTATGTCCAAAGTATGTAAGACAGAGCCTTGCCATCCTTGCCTCTAAGGAGCACTTTAGCCTTACTTCTTCCAAGACAGATCGGTTTGTCTTTTTAGCAGGCCAGCTTCTTTCCGTATTCTTTTCCAGCACCGCAATTCAAATGGATTGATTCTTCTTCAGTCTTCCTTAATCAGTGTGCAACTTTCACATGCACATGATGCGCTGCAGAATGCATGGCCTGGGTCAGGCGCACCTTAGTCTTCAAAGAAACACCCTTGCTCTTCAATACTCTAAAGAGATCGTATGCAGCAGATTGACCTACTGCAATACATCTTTTGATCTCTTGACTGCTTCTTCCATGAGCTTCAATTGTGGCTCTAAGCAAGACAAAACCCTTGACAAGTCCAACCTTTTCTCCACTGATCGTGGTGGTACCGATTGGTCCAGTTGTGCGGATTTTGGTCTTACATTGAGTTGTAATCCATACTGAAGGCTACAGTCCTTTATCTTCATCAGCAAGTACATCAATTCTTCCTTACTTTCAGCAATCTGCATACTGCAGATTATTGTTAATAAACTTTCCTCCAGTTCTGATGCCACACTCTTCTTCATCGAATCCAGCTCTCTGATGATTTGCTCAGCATATAGATGAACAAGTATAGTGAGAGGAGGATTCAACCATGACCCACACCTTTCCATTTTAAATCATTCCTCATTCCCTTATTCTGTTTGCACAACTGCCTCTTGATCCTAGAAAACTGTATGCATGACTTCGAAGTATTTTCAAATACTGAAATTAAGACTAAGATAGATATTGTAAAAAAATTTTGGTAAGTTAGGTGAAAGTTTACAGAGCAGAGCATCAGTTTTAAAAAATTATTTTATTGGGGGCTCATACAATTCTCATCACAATCCATACATACATCCACTGTGCCAAGCACATATGTACATTCGCTGCCCTCATCATTCTCAAAACATTTGCCCTCTACCTCAGCCCTTAATGTCAGTTGCAGAGCATCAGTTTTACATTCAACAATTTATACATATTTTGTTTTGAGTTAACCATTGAAATCCCTTCGATATACGAAATTCATCCCATTTTCTCTCAGTGTTCCCTGTTTCCATTCCTAACTTTCTGTTCTAGGGTTATTGCTGTCCCCTTGACAGTAAATGGTTGATTTTTGTAGCACAGGGGTGCATTCAATACCAGGTTTGAAGGGTAACTACAGCCCATAGTTTTGGGGGGCGGGGGTCCGGTCTTACCAGTCTCTATTCAAGTAAACTTAGTCTCTTGGAACTGCCCCATCTAGTTCTTCTGACTTCAGTGTTGTGGAAAATGATGTTTGTGTGGTCCATTAGTCCAGAGGAGCATTGGTAGCACCCCAAAATGGGCAGTTCAACACCACCAGCAACTCTTTGGGAGGTTGTCCAAGATTGCAGCCTTGGAAACTGCATATGGAATTACTATGAGTCAGAACCAGCTCAAGGACAGAGGGTAGGATGAGTCCATTAGACGAATTGTTTGCATTGCATTTTGATTGCCATCAGTTTTCTTTCCAACAATGGGGATTTACCAACAGCTGAACCTTCGATGCCTGCTCAGAGCTTTTAAGACCTCAAGGATGAAAATATTTTTGCAGACCTAATATTTTGCTCTTTAATTTCTATTATCATTGACTTGGCAAAGTAAGGTGGTATTTTTAATTTTTATGATAGGTTATTATATTCTTTAGAGTATGATATTTAAGTCAGCTCCATACTGTAGAAATTACCTTATAAGATTTTTTCATGTTAAAGGTTCTATGCCCATTTGGAAGGGACTTGGCAGGATATGTAAAATCATTTCAAAGGGGTAACTTCTAAGGTTGAAACATAAGAAGTTAAGGTGGTAAAAACTTAATGGAGTGGGGCAGAAGGAGGAGAGAGGGAAAAAAAAGAAGGGCTGACCCCAAGAGCTCAATGGAAAGTAAATGTCCAGAAAAAGAATGATGGACTATATATACTAATATGTCAGATGCAATTGATGTATGGATTGTAACAAGAGATGTAAGAGCCCCCAATAAAATGATTTAAAAAAAAACCCTAATGAAAAAAAGCTCACTGGAACATTATTTTTCATAGTGAATATTCTTAAAATTTTAAAGATATAAACATATTTCAAAGAGTCTACCATGTAAACCTTTATATAAGTGGATGCACTGAAATAGAATGGAAGGAAATACACAAAATATAGAGGGTTTATATTTTGTTATAAGAATTTAAATTTTCTACCCATTTATAAACTATCAAGGGTTCATGAGGGAGGGGGGAGCGGGGAGGGAGAGGAAAAATGAGGACCTAATGTCGGGGGTTGAAATGGAGAGAAAATGTTTTGAGAAACGATGTACAAATGCGCTTTACACAATTGATGTGTGTATGGATTGGGATAACAGTTGTATGAGCCCCTAATAAAATGTTAAAAAAGAGGGAAAAAAAAGAATTTAAATTTTCTCCTCTTTTATGTTTCATATTATACAAATACTTCCTATAAAAAGTCTTAATTATTTTATTAACAGGAAATGACATATAATAAATAATGCTTAAAAGAAAAAGGAAACAAGACAGAAAGTGAAGACTTCTACTTCCATTCAGGATGGAATAAATATATCTGTTGACCTGTCTAGTCTACTCTTGACTTCATTTAAATTTTGTACTTGTCAGTTCAAAATTTTTAATTTGGCTTTCTTTTTAAAAGTTTTATTTCTTTGCTGAATATCCCATCTGTTCACACCTTTTATGCACCTTTTCACTAAATCATCTAACGTATTTATAATGTGTACTATTAAGTTCTCGCCTAATGAATTATAACATTGAATCATCTATTTTTCTGGTCTAATTTTTACTCTTGAATTTGTGTCAAATTTTTCTTTTATCTGCCTTGTCCTGTCTGATTACTTGTCAGGCATTGTAGGTTAAAGACTGCTAGCAATTGATTCAGACTCAGCGACCCCACTGGACAGAATAGAACTGCTACTGTTAATTTCTGAGACTGTCTCTCTTTCCAGGAATAGGAAGCCTCTTTTTACTCTCTCGGAGCTGCTGGTGGTTTTGAATTGCTGACATTAACAGCCCAATGCATAAACCACTATGCCCCTAGGGCTCCGAAAACTCACTGCCATGGAGTCAATACTGAGGGATACGGACCGTAGGTTCAAGACCAGTGTAGAACCTGAAACGTAAACTATTTACCCCGAGGAATGGGCAGGCCTCTGTCCACTGAAGGCGGAATTATTTTACTTTGTTGTTGAATTGGTTTTATGTTTTGATAGCAGAATTAAGACTTTCAGCAGAGCTTGTAGACTTTAGTTCATTTAGGAGCTTACTAAGCCACCGAAGCCATCTTTCAGTTTTGGAAACAATTCATCAGCTTTTCCAGTTGCTGGGAATTTGACTTTGCTCCCTAGCTCGGACCCAGCCTTCCTGTATCTCATTCCGCCCTGCTGCGCTGTCCTCAGCCTTCACCCAGATACCTGCTCCCTTTTGTCTTGGAAAGACCTTTCTCATCTTTTCTCTGATTTTTTGCTCAGCTCTCCTGTATTGCTTAAGTCTTCAGAGAGCTTCAATAACTATCAATCTGTGTTAACAACTTGGATGAATCTCATCGGCATTACACTGAGCAAGAAAGGACAATCTCAGTCACATATTATATAATTCTATTAATAGAACATTTATGAAATAGCTTATAGGAGTGGAAAATAAAGTAAAGGTTGTCAGAGGTTAAGGATAGTGGGAGGGGTTGCAGGTGGGAGGGTCGTTGTGATGATAAAGGTCGAGTACGAGGGCCATTTTGTGTCAAAGCACAGTTCCGAAGTTTGCTTTTGGTGGTCGTTCTACAAACCTACATCTGTGATAAAACGAGAGGGAACGAGAGACCCATACATTATACCAGTGATAACTTCCTGGTTTGAATATGTAGCATGCTGGCAAAAATTAAAAACCTGAGCTGAGAGCACACTTACTGTGCGATTCTAAGTACAAGACTGAGAGCACACTTACTGTGCGATTCTAAGTACAAAACTAGTTAACAAGTATATGACATACAGGAAGAGGTAAAAGGTAATTTGTGGTAACAGTAGTTATCTGGGAGTGGGTGGATTTTGATTAGCAAGAGCCACACATCAACTTGACTTGGCAAAACCCATCAGACAATCTACTTGAGATGGGCACATTTTATGTGATGCATAGCTCAATTTAAAACGTGTCTTAAAAAGTAGACAAAATATTCTAAAAATGACATGTTTCCTTGTTTACTGGCACAACTTTCCGGTAATGCATGTGTGCATCTTCTGCAGAAGGAGTTCTTCGAACGCCTCCATGTGATGTACACCGTGGGGTACTCCATATCCTTCGGTTCCTTGGCTGGAGCTGTCATCATCCTTAGTTACTTCAGGTGAGTCACTCTAAGTTATTCTCTTCACGAGAGGTCTCAAGAATATTTTTTCCCAAACAAAACTTTTTAAATTCAGCACAATTAATTTCTAAGTCTGAAACATTTTGGGGGGAGGAGTCTAAAAGCTTCAAGCACCAAAGCTAAGGGAGACCTTTCAGCCAATGGGTCGCCATTGCACCCTCTCAAAGTGAGGGCGAGCAGGTTGAATGAGTTAGAAAGACTTCCACTCATGACATCGTAGCTTGTTTCACTTTCTCAGGAGGTTTGGGTGCCATTGAATGGGAATTTATCTTGGTCTCCTGAAATCCTGGATTTCAGCACATAAAGAAATAGTGCTTATTTCTCTAGTTACCACTTGTTTTACCTCAGTAAAACCTCTGTTCAATTCAACTTAAGTCAAACAAAATTTCAGTCACCAATACGGGAATATAGTAAGTGAACAATATGTGCTCTTGCTGTTAGGTGCCGTCCAGTCTGTTCCAATCGTAGTGACCTCATGCACAGCAGAAGGAAATAGCCCCCAGTCGTGCCCCATCCTCACAGTTGTTCTTAAGTTGGACACCATTGTGTCAGCTGCTGTGCCAGGCCATCTTGGCAAGGGCCTTCCTCTTTCTTGCCGTCCCTCTACTCTACCAAGCGTGAGGTCCTGCTCCAGGGACTGGTGTGCTCTGCCGTGTCCAAAGTATGTGAGATGAAGTCTCATCATGCTTGCCTCTAAGGAGCATTCTGGTTGTACTTCGCCCAAGACAGAGCTGTTTGTTCTTTCGGCAGTCCGTGGTACTTTCAGTTTCTTCCCTAACATCAAAGTTCTAATGAATGGATTCTTCTTCAGTCTTCCTTATTCATTGTCCAACTTCCACAAGCACATGAGACTGTTGAAAAGACCATGGTTTGGGTTAGGCCCACCTTAGTCCTCAAAGTAACCTCCTGGCTTTTCAACACTTTGAAGAGGTCTTGTGCAGCATGTTTACCTAATGTAATGCCTTGTTTGGTCGCTTGGCTGTTGCTTCCATGAGCATTGATTGTGGATCCAAACAGACAAAATCCATAACAACTTCAATCTTTCCTCCGTTTGTGATGATGGTCCTGTTAGGTGAGGATTTTTATTTTCTTTATATTGAGTTGTAATCTACATTGAAGGCTGTAGTTCTTGGTCTTCATCAGCAAGTGCCCCAAAGTCTCACCTTCAGCAAGTAAGTTTGTGTCACCTGCAGAGCACAGATCATTAATAATCCTTCCTCTAATCTTGGTACCATATTCTTTTTATATAATCCAGATTCTCTGATTATTTGTTCAGTATACAGATTGAATAAGTATGGTGAAAGGACACACACCTTTCCTCATTTTAATAATGCAATATTCCCTTGCTCTGTTCACACAACTGCCTCTTGGTTCCACGGGAGAACGGGAGCACAATTCGATATTCTGGATTTCCCATTCTTCTCGTGCCTATCCATAGTTTGTTATGATTCACACACTCAAATGCCTTTATATAGTCAATAAAGCATAAGTAAACATCTTTCTGAGAGCCTCTGCTCTCAGCCAAGATCCATCTGACCTCAGAAATGATATCCTTTGTTCCATGTCCTCTTCTGAGTCTGGCCTGAACCTCTGGCAGCTCCCTGTCAATGTACTACTGTAGTCATGGGTCCATAGAAAAAGAATGTTTGGAAACTGATTGTGGTAGCAAATTCTACTGGACATGATTGAATTACGGGCTGTTTTGCTATATGTATTAATCCAAATTAATAAAAAAAAGTTTACTTGTATGCACTAGCAATGATATTTTTCTGTTATTTGAGCATTCTGTTGGGACACCTTTCTTTGGATTGGGTACAAATATGAATCTCTTCCACTCAGTTGGCCAAGAACTGTCTTCCAAATTTCCTAGCATGGACCAGTAACTGCTTCATCTGCTTGGTGAAACATTTCAGTTGGTAGTCCATCAATTCCTGGAGGCTCATTTTTGGCTAATGCTGTCAATGTAGCTTAAACTTCTTCCTTCAGCACCATTGGTTCTTGCTCATATGCTACCTTTTGAAATGGTGGAATGTCGACCAATTTTTTTTGGTAGAGTGACCCTGTGGATGCGTATTTTTACATTTTCTTTTGATGCTCCCTGGATCATGCAATATTTTGCCCATAGAATCTTTCAATATTGCAATTCAAGCATGCAGTTTTTTTCTTCAGTTCCTTCACTTGCAGATATGCTGAGTTAGTTCTTTCTGATCTAGGTCTTTGCATGTTTCATGATCACATTTGACTTTGTCTTCTTTGAAATTTTCTGTTTAGCTCTTGGAATTCATAATTTCTTCCATTTGCCTTAGCCACTTTATGATTAAGAGCAAGTCTCAGATGTCTCTCCTGACATCCACTTTGATTTTTTCTTTCTTTGTTGTTTTTTAAATGACCTATTACTTTCTTCAAATATCATGTTCTTGATGTCATCCCACAGCTCATAAGTTCTTCTGTCATTAATATTTAATGCATCAAATCTGTTTTTAAAATTTGGATGGGATATACTCATGGTCACATATTGGCCCTAAGGGCCTTGTTTTCATTTTTCCGTAACTTCATTCTAAACTTACATATAAGTAATTTGTGGTAGGTATATAATCATTTGTCAATTTGAGGATTAAGAGTGTAGGGATCGGTGGAGTCTAGCTTGTCAATTAGATCATAGCCAATGAGGCTTCTGTGTGGGCATGACCTTTTCCTGAGAATTCTGGGAAATCTGGTACTTCCTCCTTGGAGGGGGGAGACACTTTTCTCTCTCTGAGACTCCCTGGGAGACATTGTAGCTGACAAGACACATGGAACTACCCTAGTACCCTGAGCCGGACAAGCCACATGGATGCAACCAGACCTCTGAAGCTGGAGAAGCCTCAGAGAGACCCATGCCAGTGCTGAGATGCTTACAATGCCCCTGGACCCAAAGACTTTCTACCCACTGGCTTGTGATCATCCTGCATTTGGCTTCATTGCATGTGTTTCATGAGTTTGAAGAGGACTTTATAGATTGGTATCAGACATATGGGCTAATATCAGACTTATGGCCTTGGACTGGAATGGGCTGGGATGTTTTCTTAATGTACAATTGCTCTTGTATCTAAACCTTTTCCTTATACACATATGTGTGTCCATGGATTTGTTTCTTTAGTCTACCCAGACTAACACACAATTGATGTGTGTTAGTTCTACAACCGTTCTACAGTTGGCCCCTAGTCTAGTTTTAGCTGCTGATATTGGGCTTCTCTATGGTCTCTTCCCACAGATGTAGTCAGCTTGATTTCTGCGTATTCCATCTGGAGAGTTCCATGGCTTTTGTGTTTTTGAAAATAGGTGTTTGCCATGAGCAAGTTGTTGGTCTTGCAAAATTCTTTTTTTCCAAAATTCTATCGTGTGATCTCTAGCTTCATTTCTATCATCATTTTCCAACTACTGCTCCTTTATTTGTTTCTCTTTCTTGTACTACAATCACCAATCAATGCATCTTAATTGTATGCTTGATCTATTTCATAAAAAAGATGTAGTAGAATTCTCAAATTCTACTGCATGAATTTGAATAACAATTGTATTAATTGGGTATCCTTTTATTCAGATAGGTGTTAACCTATCACAAGCAGCAGTGTACTTCAAGCTAAATCTTGAAATGTCCTTTTTGAATGTGATACCTTTCGTCTGAATAGTGTCATTCCCAGCATACTAAACCATATGGTTTTTTAAAATTCAAAATGGCCAATGCTAGACCTTTTCAGCTCTTTAATACCTAGAACATTGATTTTTATATGCTCCATTAACATTTTAGTGATTTCCAATTTTCCTAGATTCATACTTCATACATTCCGAATTCCAATTATTAATTGATGTTTGCAGCTATTTCTTCTCATTTTGAGTGCTGCTTCTTCAGCAAATGAAATTCCTGAAGGCTTTCCTCCTGCAGACTTTACTCTGTCTGTGTCATCCTGGTGGACTTGACTTTGAAGGTAGCTCTTCCTGTCATATTTTGAGTGCCTTCTGACCTAAGGGGCTTGTCTGCTTGCACGATCAGACAATATTCTGCTCCTTTTCATTAGGTTTTCAGTAGCTGATGGTGTGTTTTGCTAGCTATAGGGTTTTCAGTGGCTAATTCCTCTGAAGGGGACGGCCAGTTCATTCTTGGTAGCCTGTCCTTGGCCTGGAAGGACTTGAAACTTGTTCACTTTGGGTGACCTTGCTATTATTTGAAATACCAGTGAGATAGCTGCCAGCATCACAGGTACCCACAAATCACCACAGTACAACGAACTGACAGACAAGTGGTAGGACAACACATATACACTGTATATATTCCTGATGCTCACAGATGGTCTATGATAAAACAGCTGAGAAACAAACAAGTAAAACAACAAACAACCCACTGCTACCACGTGGATTCCAACTACAGTGACTTCTGAGGCTGTGAATCTCTTGGAGCAAATAGCTTCATATTTCTTGCGAGGCGCAACTGATGGATTTGAATTGCTGACTTTGTGCTTCGTAGCCCTACACTTACCCAACAGCAGTGTGTCAATGTTCCTCGTGATAAACTTTGGATTTTGTTTTATGAGGGGTGTTTTTAGGGACAATCTAGTTGGCTTCAGCTCATAATGACCTTCTATATAACAGAACAACCTGCTGCCTGGTTCTGTGGCCTAGTTATAATTGTTGCAATCAGTGTCTCAATCCATTTCATTAAGGATCTTCTAGTTTGCTGACCCTTTACTTTATTGAACATGGTGCTAATGAAGTTTTTGAGCATGAGGCTAACACGATTGGATACGTGAATTATAAAAGGATTCCTCAAAACAACCCCATGAAGTTGGTTTGGCAGCTGCTGTTACGTTTTGAGACCAGGAGACTATCGTTCAGTGTCTAACGCAACAATGCTGTAGGTGGTCAACTGGAAATGGGACCTCTTAACTAGGAGTCATTCCACTCCACTAAGCTTAGCTGTAGTCTTTGGTCTTGCAAAGTTCTTTGCTCGGGATAATTAAAAAAAACAACACTTACAGCAGTACACCAGCAGGGAACTGCCCGAAATTCAAGCCAGATTCAGAAGAGGATGTGGAATGTGCTATTATTATTGATGTCAGATGGATCTTGATGGAAATCATAGAAGACAAGAGTGATGTTTAGCTGGACTTCATTGATTATGACTATGTAAGTGCATTTGACTATGTGGATCATAACATATTATGTATACCATTGAGAAAAATGGGAATTCCAAAACTCTTGACTATGCTCACGTGAACCTATACCAAACCAAGAGGAAGTCACTAGAATAGAAGAAGGGGATTCAGCATGGCTTCAAATAAGGAGAGTGTGTCAGTGCTGTATTTTTAAAATCATTTTTATTTCATCTGTATATTGAGCAAATAATCTGAGAAGATGGATTATGTGAGGATCAACCCTGAAGAAGATTCATAACAGCCAACAATGTGCAGATGACACAACTTGCCTGCTGAAAATGAAGAGGGCTTGAAGCACTTGCTGATAAGGATGAAAAACTGCCACCATCACTATGGGGTATACCTCAACATAGAGAAAGCAGAAATCTTTACAAGTGGAAAATTAAGCAAAATCATGCTAATGGCAAAGAGATTGAATTTATCAGGGATGTAATTTTACTTGGCTTCAAAATCATTCACCCTGGAAGCAGCAGCCAAGAAAATAAACAATCTATTGCATTGGGCAAATCTGCTGCAAAAACCTCGTTCACAGGTGACAAGGATGTCACTTGAGGATGAAGGCACGCTTGACCCCAGCCCTGGCATGTTCAGTTGACACATATGTATGTGCCTGCAGAACACTGTATAAGTCAGATGACAGAAAAATCGTTTCCTTTGAATTATGGTGCTGGTGAAGAATATTGAATATTTGCCTCTCAGAAGAATGAAGAAATCCCATGGACTCCCAGGCAAACTTCAAAATCTGTCTTGGGGAAAATACAGCCAGAATATTTCTGAGAAATAAGGATGGTGAGACTTTGTCTCATGTACTTTGGACTTGTCAGGAAGGATTCGTTTCGGGAAAAGGTCATCTTGGTTGGTAAAGTAGAAGATCAGCAAAAAAAGAGTGACCCTTAAGAGATGGATCAACATAGTATGTGCAACACTGGGCTCAAACGTGACAATGATGCAGATGCCACAGGATAGGGCTGTGTTTCCTTCTATTGTACATTGGGAGCTATACGTTGAAATGGGGCACCTAACAATGCAGAGAAAGCAGATGACTAGTAATTCCGTAATGTATGCCATTCCTGGTAGTATTTATTTAACATTAAATTCTTTCTGCACCATACAAAGTTTTGTAAACATCGAAGAAGTTCTTCTGTGTCACCACATTAAATATCTTGTAATTAGTATAGTGAAGAGCATTGAGTCTCTTTAAAACCCAGACCTGCCTATATACTGTAATAGCATTATTCACAGTCAGTATTTGCCACATATACCTGATAATCAATATGACCAAATACCGCTTGCACCTACAACTCTCCATTGCGGAATCAATCACTGGAAAGAATCATTTGGGCACAAATAACGCACACACATGTCCATGGCATTGAAATATAATTCCTTCCAAACTACAGTACATTTAAGGCAGCCTTATCTGACCTTTACCCCTGTATTATGAGATATTAAAGATATATTACTTACATGACAAATTTTCTACTCTTAATATTTATGTGCCTCGCCCACTCTGAAAGGGAAAATAGTCATGTACTTATGCTCTCACTGCCCAGCAGTGGTGGAGCAGAACTTTTGGCCAAGATTATACATCTTTTTTCTCATTTTTCCCTAAGAGTTAAAAAATTATCTTTTTGTAGTTAGCTTTCTGACCTGGAGCTTAGTGGAATTATATCTACCTCTAAATATGTTATTGGCTTAACATGTGTCTATGACTCCTTTATAATTCCAACACTCTTTAGTTAACATTAGACTTATTTGCTCTCAGATATCCCTAGAAAGTAAAATTTTGTCATGCAATTGATATATATTAATTTTTCTTGTAAAGAATATGTAGACAATATCAAAGTTCTAACTTTAGTACTATTTACTCCTTTCCAGGTGGTCTTCCATTAATCATTCTTTACTTTAATATACAGTGAAATATAATACTTATGAAATATTGACTACTTCAAATATATGATACTGGATTAGGATCCATTTAAAATTTATCCTCAGGGAGTTACATTGTAGCTTTAGATTCCAGTTGTTTTTATTGGAAATCCATAATTGTGAGTTACACTCTTGGTTCTCATTGTCTCCTCCTTTGATTGCCCCCCAGACAATCTGCAATTCATTTATACATTTTCTCTCCCCATTTATAATTTAATGCACATCCAAATACTGAACATTTCCTCTTCATAGGAGATTGCATTGCACCCGGAACTATATCCACATGCACTTATTTGTGTCTTTCATGCTGAGAGCTGTGAGCATCTTTGTGAAGGACAGAGTGGTCCATGGTCAGATGGGAGTGAAGGAGCTTCAGTCCGTGATAAGACAGGGCGACCTTCAAAGTTCCATGGACCTCTCTTCTATAGACAGATCACAATATGTAAGTATTTGCATCACTTTTTTTCCATTGCCAATTGAGATAACATTACAAATAAGTAAGTAAGGTTTCACACCTTTATCTTGGGTGAGCATGTTTATCTTGGGTATCTTGATCTGTGAAATAACATTTCCGTAAAAATTGAAACAAATGGCCATTTTGTTTAATGGCATTTACTGCCTCAATTCTATCTTCACCTTTCATGCCTAATCACTCATCATCTTAGATTATAAAAAGTGCTTGGAATCTTTCCTCACAAACATTTCTAGAATGGAAATTGCCTTTCATGTATGGACTGTAGCAATTACCATGACTCATCAGTCTTAAAAGGGAAACCAAATCAAAGCCAAATTGGGTTAGAAAAGTCCACAAGGTTTAGTCCTTTTATTGTGGACTAAAAAATATATTCCAAAATAAGATTCCATGATGCTTGATTCTGCTCTTCAATATTCTAGTATTATTTATTAACTAGAATACCCAATCACTCCACTCCTTAGATGACTGAAACAATCTATCTGGACATTTGGTATAGTAGCTTGTCCTGACAGTCCTATAAGTAATGTCCTGCCTCTGTCTGCACCCTTTGCCCTGTATCTTGTAGTGTCTGCTGAATCTGACTCTAGCGTGCTTTGTGACCTACCCCGCGTAATAGAAAAAGGTGGGCGTGATAGTGTGCCGGTTGAGGACAGACATCAGGAAGCCTTAGCTGTTACCCTACTTTTTCTCTTGCAAGATGCTACCGCCAAGTGAACAAATAGAGGATGGCTTGTTGAATAATGAGAGATCACGTGGACTGCAGTCACAGTCAACCAGCTGAGGTCATTCTAGCCAGACCTGTCAGGCCCTCGCGGCCTGCTCACCGACTGCAGACATGTGAGTCAGCCAAGAGGAGCTGAGCCTAGTTCAGCAGGACCATGTGCCTGAATCACATGCTCAGAGGAAGCAATACGTATTTGTTGTTCGCAGTCATTAACTTTTAAGGCAGTTTGTTTCGCAGCTGATTTATACTCTAGGAAAATATTGATTACCAGTGAGTATTCTTTAAAGTCTTCCTTGATTCTTTTCATCCAAAATGTTTTTTCTTAAAAATTGCTCGAGAAGTTGTCACACTGCTGTTGTTGTGAGGTGCTGTTAGGTTGTTAGGTTCAGTTCCGTTTCATAACAACCCTATACAACAGAACAAAATGCCTCCCGGCCCAGCGCCAGCCCCACCACTGTTCTTATGTTAGAGCCCATTGTGGCGGCCACTCTGTCCGTCCACCTTGTGGAGGGTCTTCCTCTTTGTTGCTGCCCATCTACTTTACCAAGCATGGTGTCCTTTTCCAGGGACTGGTCTATCCTGAAAACCTGTTTCAATTATTTATCTACTTATCTTTTCCTCCCTCCCACCACCGTTCCCTAACCTGTCTAAATTATGTGAGGCAAAGTCTCGCCATCCTTGCTTCTAAGGAGCATTCTGGCTGTACTTTTTCCAAGATTGATTGTTGGTTCTTTTCCCCGTCCCTGGTACTTGCAATATTCTTTGCCAGCACCATAGTTCAAATGCATCAATTCTTTGGCCTTCTTTATTCAGCATCTACTTTCACACACATATGAGGCAAGTGAAAATACTGTGACTTGGGGCAGGTGCACCTTAGTCTTCAATGTAACATCCTTGCTTTTCAACATTTAAAGAGGTTTTGTGCAGCAGACTGACCCACTGCAGGACAGTTACTCAGGCTAACAGTGCCTAATATGGCTTCTCTTCATTAAAGTATCCAAGAAGCCATACATAAGAATCTACAGGTTCAATATGTTGGCTTATGCATCAGTGTAGATGTTATACTGTCTATGTATATGTTGCTGTCAGTATAGATTCATGAAATCCAAAACCAAACTCACTGCCATCTAGTCAGCTCTGACTAAGAGCAGCCCTGTAGCGAGTAGAGGTGTTGCCTAGCATCAGGGATAGAAGATGCAAGTCACTGTACACCAGCAATGTAGAGAAACACCTGTCATGTCGCTGTGATCTCACGTGGGGACAGCAGACACTTCTTCATGGAAGGACTTGCTGATGTATGACATTCCTCCTCCAGTGTTAGGTCCTGTGATGTTATATCTTCCCCATCTAGTAACACCATGAGACACAGAGACTAGATAGAGGGTATGTAATGAATGAAGTAAATATATGCTGTGAAGAAAAGGTGCATGACTGCCCCTCAGATGAAGCCTTATAAAAATTTTGGAGTAGGCAAATTTCAGGAATATATAGTTACTCAAAAAAGGTTAAACCCATGCTGTGAACCAAACTGTTTTACCATGTTACAAAAAGTTTCAATTAATAATTCACATTTTACTCGAAACATGAAACTTAAAAATTTATACAACCTTCTATAAAATGAGAGGTCAAACTTTAAAACCTCAGTGACCAGTTATTAGGAATATTGGGAAAGTGAAAGCCAACCAGCCAACCAACCGAATCATGACCATGACCATGAAAAGTACACTTCCACATGAAACCAACCGAAGCCAACAGTTATTTTTTATCTGCCTTATGTGCTTTACAGTAAAATATTGTTGAATTAAGTGATAAGCTCGGGGAAATTTGTATGTCGCTACTGATGTTTTGAAGAATGGTAAATGTTGTGTTTAATCACACGAATTACTGTGTTATTAATGAAGTGGCATCTCTAGCATTCTTATTCTATGTATTTCACCATAGTTTTGTCAGTGTACTTCTTATTAACTATGATTTAGTATTCTCTGCCTGCGTATGTGCTTTTTGATGATCTGGTTCTTCTACTCCTGTCATCTCGTCAAGGGCAGAGTCTTATGCTTCCAGAACCCACCACAGTGTTTGACACATGATAGGCACTCCATGAACACTCACTTCATATCCAAATATAAAAAAAATACATAGAGTCTCAACTATGTGAAACAACGGCGTAAAAAGACTAGAATACAATAAATTCCTGGTAAAATTATGGCTAATAATTGATTTATGATTTATGTACTTTCAATTTTTTATGGTCACGTATTATTTTAATAAACAGGAAATATGAAAGTGATATTTTCTAAGAGAAAGTCTCTTTTGAACAATAGAATAAAATCTATATTTTTAGAAATGCTATGTTATAGCAACTGTTCTCTTTCAACAGTGTTGGTGTTACTCTACATCAGAAACATATTAGACTATAACAGAAAAATGAAGAATATTTTTTTAATGTTGTCTTATGTTGTATGTGCTCCTGTTAAGAGTTCTAATATGATGCAATTTTGATTTGCTTGTAACAGACGGGGTGCAAGATTGTTGTTGTGATGTTTATTTACTTCTTGGCCACAAACTACTATTGGATCCTGGTGGAAGGTCTCTACCTGCACAGTCTAATCTTTGTGGCTTTCTTCTCGGACACCAAGTATCTGTGGGGCTTCACCGTGATAGGCTGGGGTAAGGCTTGCATATCTCCCTTGCTTTTGAACTGAATTTTGGATCGGAGGGCTTCTCGCCAAGATTCAATTGCTTTACTTGTTTACCATCAACATTCTTTCCATCGTTTTCCTGAAATAATCTCTTCAGTTGCATCTTTATCCCTCCTTCTTTCTCTTTTATGGATCTCTTCTTAGAGGGAAATTGTTAAAATCAGACCTATAATTTTTCCAGTGCTTCTAGACTTAAAGTTTAATTTATGATTATTGTTTTTACACTGAATTCTCCAGAGAATTCTTTGAAGGCAATTTAAGAGAATACATTGTTAAACGCTATACACTTAGAACTGCCATGGCTCATTTAAAAGGAGCCTCGTGGTAGGCCGCAAACTGAGTTGCTTAACTATAAGGTTAGCATTTCCAACCCACCAGCAGCTCTGAGGGAGACAGGTGAGGCTGTGTGGTCCCATAAAAATGTCAAGTCCAGGAAACCTCAAGGTCATTTCTACCCAGTCCGTTAGGGTCACTGTGAGTCAGAATTGACCTGACGGCAGTAAGTTTGGAGTTTTGATGGCGTTGTGGTTGTCTGGTTAGTCTGTTTCTAAGTCTTCTCTATACTTCTATTTTATTAAAAAAAAAGAAAATATCTAGCCTAGGACATATATAGAGCCCTGGTGGTATAGTGATTACTGTGATATGCTGAAATACCCGTGATCAGCAGTTTGAAACCACCAGCAGCTCTGTGGGAGAAAGACCAGGCTTTCTACTCCTGTAAATGGTTACAGTCTCAGAAAACCACAGGGGTTGCTATGCGTCAGCTCTGACTTGATGGCAGTGAGTTTTGAGTGAGAGGTTGTATGAATATATGAGGGGGTATCCTCCAAACAATGATGCTCATTTGTTTTGTTTTGTTTTGTTTTAATGTGAAGGGGATAGTGCATTGGAGTTTGTTCTACCAGGTCAGACTGTTAAGCAAGCTTTCTATTTAGAGGTTCTGAAATGATTGTATAACTGTGTGCAACAAAAAAAGGCCTGATTTGTGGCAGATGGGGCACTGATTTTGCCCACAAAGCCATCTCAGGGCACCAGTGTGGGGCAAAACCCCAGCATGTCTCTCTTGTCCCACACAGCTTACTCACCTGACCTTGCTCTGTGTGAGTTCATTTTGTTTCTGTGAATGAAGAGGGACATGAAAGGACAGTGATTTGAGGGCACAGAAGAGGTGAGGGAAAAATGAGGGCGGTGCTGTTCACCATCCAAACAGACGAGCTTGAAGAATGTTTCCAACAATGGAATCGCAGATCTGACAAATGGATTCAGTGTACTGGAGAGTACTTTGAAGGTGATAGGGTTCTTTTGTGAAAAAAAAATTAAATAGGTTTGGGAAAAAATTCCCATTTTGGGGGTACCCCTTGTATATTACAGGGTGTCATAATGTTCTTATTTTAAGTATAGTTTCTGCTCTTAAAGCACAGCTACCATATTTGATGAACAGATTAATTTGTTTTTCTTTTATCTCAGCACAGTTAGCCATAATAATTTTCTCAGCTCTGCTATATAATCAAAACATACTGCCTTTATTTCATTTTGTCCCAAATTCCCATGACAAAAATAATGGTCCAAAGTATTACAACTTGCTTGCAGAACACTTTATTGGGGTAATTAATAATGAAACCAATTGCATACTTTCTTCCAATGATGTGATATATTGGCTCTACTAGAGAAGAGGAAAACTTGCTTGGTGGCTTCCTTTTTTCCTGTTGTTCCTACTTGGACCTATTTTTAAGCAATATTCTGCTGGATAAATTTTTTAAAAGGCATTACTCACATTGTGGTGATGTGTGGAGCTACTTTATTTGAGTTCATTTCACCAACGCATAGCAATAAACTGGAAAGGAAGGATGTGTTATCCAAAGAGGAACAGGTTCCCTAGCTGGCCTTTACTAAACTGAAGGCAACTATTTTGAAATGATGGTTTTGGCATACTCTTATTGTAAAACAAGATGTTTAGAGGAGTGAAAGAAAATAGTAATGACGACTTTCCCCCGCCAACTAACCACACTCTTAATTCTCCTTCCCCCTCTCTCATTTGTCTCATAGAGAATACATTTTATTTTGGGTTTCATTTTGCCCTTTCACCATCCCTCCCCCGCCCCGTCACCGGCTGTATTTGAAAGGCCCCGTGTTGCTTTCTGTTTATTGAAAGTGCTGATTTACTTTCCTGTTTGCCACCCCACTGCCATCCACCAAGTCTATCCTGACTCACAGCAACCTTACAAGGCAAAGTAGAACTACACCTTAGGGTTCTAAGACTGCAAATCTTGATGGCAGCAGCTGTCTCCTGACCTTCTGAGGTTCTCTTGAACCATTGACCTGGCGATGAGCAGCCCAGCACCTAAGCCCTTGTGCCACCAAGGAGTTTCCTATATTAACAACTATCTCTAATGGTCACTATCAGATGATACTATATATCATCATTTTAAAACTCCAAGCCTTGAGAGACCATCTAAGATATAATGATTAGCTGCTTCCCATCTGGAGCAAAGGAGGATGTTAAGAGAATCCAAGACTCAAGGGAGCAATTAGTCCAAAGGATTAATAGACTACACAAACCACTGCCTAGATGACCTTAGACCAGAAAAACTAGATGATGCCTGGTTGCCACTACTGACCACTCTAAGTACAGCGGTTCTCAGACAGAGAGGAAGAAAAGTGTACATTAAAAAAAACAAAACAAAAACCTCATAAAACAGACCAGGTTTACTGGTCTGATAGTGAGCGGAGAAACCCTTGAGATTATGCCCCAAGCACATTCCTGTGACTCGTAACTGAAGTCCGCTCCAGGAGACTACCTTTCAGTCAAACAACAGACAGGCCTATAAAATAAACAATACACTCAGAGAGTGTACTCTTTAGAATAATCTACTATCTTGGATCTAAAGGACAACATTTGCCCAAATGCAAAGATAAGGAGGCAAGAAGGGGCAGAAAATCCCACTGAAGGAAATGGGACGCTCAGGGTGGAAACGGGGAGAGTGCTAAAACATTGGGGAGACCAATGTCAGGGAGCACTGTATGTTCCAATACCCACTGGGAAACTCATTTGTTCTGGAAATTTTCACCTAAAGCATAATAATAAAAAAAAATAATAAACCAAGTAACAAAATCCACCTAGTCCAGTAATATTTTTTAGTCATGTACCTGTTACCAACCTTTACATTAGAATATTTTAATATATTGTAATCTTTGGAAACCATCAGGAACTATTTTTGAAACAAAGGAACTATACTTCCAGCTTTATTATATTTAAAAATGATCACAATTCAGCAAACAGTTTTTGATCATCCATTTGGCAGTGAATATAATTGAAATATAGAGATGGGTGTTTGTCAAAATCTTCTCACACTAGAAGCATACAGTCTGATACTTTTGGCTATTTTGGTTATCTGTTAAGATCCTGTAAACTACATTCAGAAAGTTTAATGAATAAAATCTGCCTTTCATAAATCAGTTATGATATTTTAACACCTCAGCATAAATATCTTCATTTTTTTCAAGAAAAATATTTTTCTCTTTCCTTTGATTTTCATGTCCTTATTATTTATGCTGATAATTTAAAGTTAAAATTGCATTTATCGATGAAAGGATTCGTCTCTGACTCTGGGAAAGACCAAGAACTTGGTTTTGCTGTGCTGATCACTTTCCCAGATGTTTTAAATTCAGGGGTTTTGCTCCTCGTCCTTTAAAGCCATATAGGTTACCACGTCTTTAAGAGAAATAAATGACAGCCAGCTTTAACTTCACACGTGTAAGCGTCACGTAGGTTTGTCACTGTGGCTTTACCTGGTTTCAAAATTCATTGCCGGCTCTTTCCAGTCACACTTTGCTGCTTTCTTCCTCCTCCTCTTCCTCCTCACCAATTTGATTGTCTAGTTTCTGCCCACTGAAAGCCTCAAATTTAGGAGGTCTGCTTAAGTGTTTATGTGGTGAAAGGGATGAATTGATACATTTTTTTACTGCTTTCAATCCCAACCTTCATTTTGAGGGATACTAAGCTGAATCCTGCCACTACAACACTAATTAACAATGAAGCTAAACCAGAACCTGTGTCTCCATTGCAGACTCGTGTTTTGTGCACATAAACATTGCGTCAGAAACTCATCTTTCAAGGCAAGCGTATATATTGAGTAACATTCACATTTACTTGCGTTCAGACATTTCCCCTCTGTATCTACCTGTTCTCATGTATGCAATAACATGATGCCAGTCGTGGCAACCAGACACCCTTAAAGAACCCCAGCGTTGGTTTTCTGTTCTTTTCTCCTTTTCCCTCTGTGTTAGTCTTGGATGGGGGTCCTCCACAAAGATGAGAAAAGCAGTTTTTGTTCAGACACAGTGCTTCCCACGTTTCCTCTATGGTCATCTAAAGTATAATGCCAACTTAGGCAGCACGAATCCCCGTTGTGCAGCATATCGTTCAGGGAAATGCCTGGCTGGGAGATTGTAAGCGAAGCAGAAGATTAGACCTGAGCTTAGAGACATGTGAAAGTCTTGATCAAAGACAGAACCCAAACCAAAATGCGACTTCCTGGCTTCTAGGGACCCTATGTAGGGTTTCCAATGTTGGAGATCTTTATGGGGGTAGGTAGCTTCATCTGTCCCCTGCAGAGCAGCTGATGGGTTTGAACCACTAACCTTGCAGTTAGCAGTCTAATACCTGACAGTGCCATCAACAGACACATTTTAAACCCTGGCAAGATAGTAGGAAAGCAAAATATACTTCTTTCCTTTTCTAGCCATCTTGTCAGGAGGGACTGGGCCCCATCTATTGCACAGTCTCCTCCTAGAGCACTAACATGAATTGTTTTGTCAATTTTGCCTCCTCCACCAGGATATACATTTCAGGAAACTAAAGAAAAATCTGTTATGGTACCATTTTGTTTTCATTTTTTTTCTCCAAAGTTTTCTTTATCTGAATCCATTTCTTTGTTCACTTTATTGCTGAGAAAGAGTATTGGAAAAACGACAAATACTTTTTAAATAATGTTTGGGCATTTAATATAGTGCTTAAGAAAAATATCCCAAGTTAGCACCACCACCCACTCTTTTGTAAGGTGCTTCTTGGCATCTGTATTGTTTTCATCATGGCTTCTGTCTGTAAAGTTTATTTAAGCCTCTCTCCTAAAAGTTACTCGATGGAAAGTCATCCATTAAATCCTCCAGGTCTCTTGCCGTGTCTATAAAAGTTGTGGCCTATGATTCCTTTGTGGTGCCAGAGACGAATCAACTGTAGCATGAACTGCCCAGTCCTTCTCCAATGGTAAATGGGCCAAGGTGAAGTCAGAATTTGACACTGCAAGCCCACATTTATGGAGCAAAATGTCTCATGATCAAGTCATCAAACTAACTCATCAGTCTATCTTGGCTTGCCTACTAATGTATGCAAATATTTCTGTCTGAAGAACTAACATAAAAAAGAAAGGAAGAGGCCAAACTGTTTGAAATGTCCTGATTTTACAGATGGAAACGGTAGCTTCTCTATGCTTTCATATCTTTGGACTTTAAAGTCCTAATGTTTGGAAACAGCAGCCTCCCCATGACTCCTCAAGGGCCCATCTCAGTGCCTTACCCCTAGAAAGCACGTGGCTACCAGTGCGGTCAATATCAGACTCGCAGACACCAGCCAGTGCCTACTTCTGGCTCCAGGGATTTTAGCCTCCTCCAAAAATGGCTTGCTTCAACATCCTCAACAAATATTGGGCCAGCCATCATCTTCCGACTCTGGGGAATCAATAACGTCAAAACTGCCACTCAGCTCCCCAAATTCAGCTCATTTCGCAGATGGGCAAGAAGAAGATGAAGCAGATTTGTCTTTGCTTACATATCAACATTGCTCATGTCTGTTGACCTCTATCAGCTTTTAATTGTATATTAGTTTATCTATTTAGTGTCAGGAAAAACCCCCTGCTTTATTGTCATTGAAATAATGCTCTGCCTCCCCTTTTGCTTTGCAGGGTTTCCAGCAGCGTTTGCTGCAGCCTGGGCGGTAGCACGAGCAACTCTGGCGGACACAAGGTGCGTGAAAGCGAATTGGGGAGGGGAGAGCTTCAAATTTTCTTCAGCCTCAGACACTTCCTGTTCAGAAGTCACATTCTCTGTTCTTCTTAATGATATTGCCCTTTAAGGATGTCATCTGAAAAATCACTTTGATGCAATGGTAGCTTTCATTAGATCACTAGCAAGTTTCCTAGAGGTCAGCAAACAGAAAGATTTACAGATTAGCACAAAGTACTTAAACCTCTTAGTTTAGGAAATCAATTTAACACATGCTGTGAGAAGAGAAGGGGAAGTTAACACATTTGGTATAGGGTAAAAGCAGGTGCAAAGATTGTACTACTTCATATTCCTCAATCCTCACCACCACCCTCCACCCCCAGTCACGTCAGCCTTCCCTTATCAATGGTGTAGTTATAAGACCAGAGTTGGGTTCAAGCAAGGTGGCCCACATGTGGAGGAGGGGATGACAATGTCAATGACATCACTTGCTTGCTCAGACGGATACAGGGCAAGGATACCTGTTCATAGCTATCATGCTCAGTCAGCCTGTTGAGAAGTTGAGTTTTGTGTTTCTTGCACAAAGGATGTGGGAATGGGTGTCACCAATCTGGTTTTCAACATTTTCTGTGTTTTCGTTTGTTCATACTAGGCTGTATCTTAGAGGTGTTATATCATCGGAGATGACCCTCATGTAGTTGTGTCATATGTTTTTCTGTGTTTTGGTATATGAAACCTAGGATTGATGAATCTATAGAGTCAACAAGTAGAATAAGAGTTTTTTGGGGGGCGATGTACAGTGGTGGTGGTGGTGGAGGGTAAAAGGGAGACAATGTCCAGAAATTCAGAAACAAAAAGAATGTTTGGAAACTGGTTGTGGTAGTAATTAGACAATTCTGCTTGAGGTGATTGAACTATGGAATAATATATCTATTAACTCACAATTAAGAATAAAATTTTAAAAATAAGGAAGGAAAAAAAAGAATATTGAGTGATTTCAGGGGTCCTCAAACTTTTAAAACAGGGGGCCAGTTCACTGTCCCTCAGACCATTGGAGGACCAGACTATAGTTTAAAAAAAACTATGAACAAATTCCTATGCACACTGGACGAGTCGGCTGCTAAGTAGGACAGGCAGCAGCAGCAAAAACACCTGGCGGGCCGGATAAATGTCCTCGGTGGGCTGCATGTGGCCCGCGGGCCGTAGTTTGAGGACCCTTGATTTAGACATTTGAGTCTCTTGTAGATTTAGTATAGACCCCTAGGGCACTTTGGTTAAACATTTGGGGGCTAAACAAAACGTGATGATTTGAAGCCACCAGAAAGCTGTGTCCATTTGCTTCTGTAGAGATATACAAGCTTGCAAACCCTGTGGGGCAGGTTTACCTGTCCCGTGGGGTTTCTGTAAGTCAAAATAGGTTTGACAGCAGTGGGTTTGTGTATGTTTTTGTATGTAACATGGCATGAATTTAATACCCGCTTGCTATATATACATATATATGTCATGGGTGTTGCTATATCCTCTTTAACAAACATGTGCTACTTACTTATTAACTACTTATCCACAGACAATCTATGAATTTCATCCATGTTATTTGTTTTCTTATCTTCCACAATAGAATGGCATTTTTCAAGTGTTAATTGTCCATTAAACAAATGTCCATTAAAGGTGGAATTCTTTTTTTAAGCTGTGATTATTTAGAATCTTACAGGTAGTTTTGAGCTAATTTAATGTGGCATCTAAGAGTACAGGTACCAATGCTGAGTATGATAAAGAGCCTTTTCTTTAGACTTCAACAGATCTGCATTCATTCAGTTGAAGCTAATTTTGGGACCATGAAAAAGCATGCAACCTATCAACTTTCTCATTTTAATACCTACATAAGAAGACATAAACAGCAACAATATACATAGTGCACTTAACACAATATCTGGCAGATTACAAAAAACACCCCGAAACCGAACCAGTTGTTGTCAAGCTGATTCCAACTCTTGGGAAGCCTCATGTGTGCTCCTCCATAGGGTTTTCAATGGATAATATGTTTTTGGAAGTGGATCATCAGAGCTTTCTTCCTCGATGCCTCTGGGTGAACTTGAATCTTCTTCAATCTTGAGCATGTTGGGGACTCTGCCTGGGCATATAGTAGAGATCAGGGTCAGGCTCCTAGCAGACTTGGTTCTGTGATAACACATTTGTTATTGTGGGCTTCTGTTTCCTAGTCTATCTAATGCAGATAAAGTGAACAACTCTCTTCAGATGGCTGTTATAAGATTAACTAAGCCAATGCACACCAAACATTTAGTACAGATAACGGTTTGGAATATACTGGTGTGGTGGTGTTAGTTCCCAAGTCATGGCGACCTTCCATGTGACAGAACAGAACATTCCCCTGACCTGCACCCCCTTCTTGATGGATCTTTGGGAATGTGAGTCCATTGTGACTTTTGCACCCCATCTCCCTAAGGACTTCCCCTGTTGCCGACCCAGTACTTTACCAAACAAGATGACCTTTTTAGTACTTGGTCTTCCCTGTGAATGTGTTCAAGGTAAGCACGTTGATGTCTCATGAACTTAGCTTCCACGGACCATTCTGGCTCTATTTCTGCTAAGATTGATTTGTTTAGTCTTGCAGCAGACATGACATAATCAATATTCTTTGTCAATACCACAATTTGAATGCACCGATTCTTCCTCGGTCTTCTCTTTTTTCATCAAACAACCTTCCCATGCATAGGAGACAATTGAAAAGGCCGGCACTTGGATCAGGTACACTTTAGTCATCAAAATAACATCTTTGATTTTCTTAAACTTTGAAGAGGTCTTTTGCAGCAACATTTCTCAGTATAATATGTCATTTACCTTTTTGATTTCTGCTTTCATGGACACTGCTGATACAAGGAGAATGCAATCATGGACAATTTCAATGTTTAAGTGCGCAAAACTCATTAACAAATATTATTCTTTTGTTTTATTGGTTTACACTTATAGGCAATCATTGGTTAAAAGAACACTTTTATTTATTGTTATTTCATTTTAAAAAGTAAGGGGCTCTTCTTCTCTTAATCTTAGTTTATAATATTTTAATTTTTATCCTTTATCCTGGAGCCATTGTCTGCAAAAGTTGAGAGTTTAAAAATGAGGCTGGAATGGTGCCCGGCTATCAAAAGCTATAATGTCTGGGGTCTTAAATGCTTGTAGTTAAACAAGTGGCCATCTAGCAAGGAAGTAACAAAGCCCACTTGGAAGAAGCCCACCAGCCTGTGTGATCATGAGGTGTTGACAGGAATGGATATCAGAAGTTTAAAAAATCACACATTTAAATCGATATGAAGGGGAGTGGATGTCGTGGAGACCCAAAGTCCACCAGTAAGACAATTGGACAGTCCCTCTTAGAAGGGCCTCATGGTACGGAGGATAAATCCAGTGTGCAGTGTGGCACTGATCAACCACATCACTATCCTCTAGTTCTTTAACATTTCCTCCCTTACTATTATGGTCCTTACAAGATCTACAATGTGTGCATATCAGATTTACGTATGTTCACTTGTACTTTTAAGATTGCTCAGTACACGGTAGTCAATAGAAGACCCTCAGAGACACTGCCAGGACTAAGGGTTTCCCGAGGGCATGGGAATTGAGGTGGGGAGGAATAGGAAGTGGGGTGAGGGGGGTTGATAGCATTGATGATTGTGTAGCCCTATCCAATGGGATTGAACAACAACTGTATGGGAAGGGAAGGGGTATATTGGAGGGAGTAAGATATGCCAATAAAAATATAATTTAATAATAAAAAATAAATAGGATCTTGTTAGGAAAAAACCCAAAAAGAATCTGGAGAAGGAAATGGGAGCCAGATCTTACAGAGTCTGATAGGCCCCATTAATATGATTTGGCCCTTGACCTGGAAGAAAAAAGAAGTCACTGGGATGTTTTAAGTACAAGGGATAATGAGAGAAAATTTGCATTTTAAAAAAGATGATTACTAATCTCTGGAGAACAAAATTGGAAGAAAATAATAATGGAAATGGTAATTGGGACTGTTAGTGCTGACCTATCACATTTTAGTACTTTTCACAGAGTTTTGCAAAGATTAATGTAAGTGACTGGCATACAATCTCTATGAGACTGCTGCCTGAGAAGGTGTGCCCAAGGAGGCACAGTCAGAAAGCAGTAAGGGAAGAAATGTGATGTCCAGAGGCCAATCCCTTATACTGCAGACAGACACAGAATACATACTGGTGATGGCTTAGATGTCCCAGTGAAATTTGTTCATTTGTATTACGGAGGGTGGAGGAGAGGTGTAGAGGGATTCCTGTTATAGGCCCTCTGACAGCTGCTCACTCTTCAGTAATCTCAACACATCTGGCCACCAGGAGTGTGTTGTGCATACTGAACGCATTTTCTTACGGGGGGGGGGGGGGGGGGGGGGGCAGAAATCTGCTTCACTGCATCCACTTTTGTCCTTCTACCACTTGGTTCTAGCTCTGTCTGCTCTCTAAATCAGATATAAGTGATCATCCATCACTTTTTAAAATTCAAGATGTATTTATGTCAGGAACAAGTTATATTATGAACATTCCAGGAAACATTACATCTTAAAAGTTTTTTATTACTGTAAGAGTATGAACGTCACCATTCTTCACATGGACAGTCAATGGAACCAGTTTAACCAATCATATGGTTCAACCATCACAATATCTGTTGCCAAATTTTTCATTTGCATAAACAAAGACTCCATGCAACCTAAACCTCACTTTTTAGCAAGTCATTTTTCCTTTTTGGTTGAAATATGAGCTGATGTGTGTCATTTGTAATGCCTGTAGACGTCCAGTATTGTCTACCAGCACACTTTTCTCATTCTCAGGATAAAATCAACTATTTCTGAACTTCATGGTGTTCAGGAAGGAAAGTCACAATACAGTTGTTCTAATTGCTCAGTAGCCAACCCAGAGTTTTGTGGTCCAATCCCAGGGCTGGTGATCTACTTCCATAAAGACTCAAACTGAGAAAACCAGGCTGTT